TCTGTGCTGCAATTCTTCATTGCTGATTTCTAATTTGGCTGCATAAGGGATCCTTGTGACTTTGATTCTAGAGAATTTTGAGGTTTCCTCTATGACCTAGTACCTCTTTTCAGTAAGATCTTAAAAATATTGCATATTCTTCATCTTTTAATACAAGATTTACATAGTACCTACTAGTTTGAACATATAATTGTTTATCTTTGGTCAAATACTAATGACCAACCAACTACAACTCCCCACTGTTGCTTTATACACTTAAAAGCAATGTTGCTGTGCATTAATGCTTACAACCACTGTATTTTCCTGATCTACTGTTTCTTTTATAAGTAACATTGCAGTGTGCTTTTTAACTTCTTCGCCTTAAAAGATAATTAATGTTAACATAAAGCAGGTTGAAGGTTTTGGGAGGCATATTTTCTTTTTTATTTTCTCAATGTTTTCTATTCTTTTAAATTTTGATATTTCCTCTTGTCTTATGCTTAACTCTTACTGACAGTTTATTTCTGTATCTTATTTTTTAGCCCAACTGAAACATATTTTGATTTAGTTCACTGTATTTACTGCCTTTCCCATTATTCATAAGTATTTCAGCTAAAACTTCTCACTGTGTCTACTTACCATCTTATTTCTCCTCAAACCTCCAACCCCACCCCATTCTTTTCTATCATCCTCTGGGGACATTAAGTTTTATACTGATGGTCTGCAACTTATACATTCTGTTTTTATTCTCGTGCTGTATTAACACTCATACTTACACTTACATTTTCATGTCATTTTCTTAAGCTTATCATTAACTACACCTCCCCAAACACGACACTGCTCCATCACTACTGTGAATGGGGTGGACTAGTAGGGGCAGAAAGCAAGCCCCCTAGGTCAGAAAGCCTCTGGTGTAATAACATGTACCTCTCCTTTGCCAACACTCTTTTTCTAAAGCAATTTTCTACTCAGGGATAGACAGAATTTGGAGAGAAGAAGGAGCACTCAGAACTTGGTCAGTCCACCATCTCAAACTGGCTTGAAATCACAATAATGTTACTCTGCAGCACCTACCCACACTCCTACCACAAAATTCCTTTGAGGCTATACACTGCTAACAGTGGTGACAGGGCAGTGAGCCAGCTAGAACAATCTGAGAGAGAACAGTCACTTGAAAAATACCCCAAACCATCACATGGCACCAAATCCTCTTTATTCTGAGCAGTTGTTTCATATATACACACATGTAACAGATTCCTCAGAGGGAGGCAATATGACCAAAGATGTAAGTTTTAGAGTTTTAATTGTTTAGGTTCTGAATCCTGTAGTCAGGAAATTAATCATGTAACCACAATATCTCTAGGGTCAATGCAGTCATCTATAAAATGTTACAAGAAGTCTTAATTTTTATAAGATTATTGTGAGGATTAACTGAGTAAATGAAAGAAAATACATGCCCCTGCATGGTACACAGAAAGCATTCAATGTTAGGCATTACCTTACATAGAGTTTCAATTATGAAAAGACCAGATGATCTCCAAAGTACACTCAAGTCCTAAGAATGTAATACTAACTCTAAGTATACTGTGGAAGTCAGAATTCTAGCTTGAAGAAGACAGCAGACTGGGGCACTGGTTGGGACTCTGAGCGGAAAGCGCATGGCAAACAACAGCTCAGAATCTCCAGTGCCTGAACGCCCCAAAACAAGGCTGTTCTTTACTTTGTTCTAGATGCTGACCCCAACTCAACTGTGGAAGAAGAACCACTTTCTCTGTCACTAAGATAAGATATGGATGGTAACGTTCTCCTATAATAAACAGAATTTCAAAACTCAGTTTCTTGGAGAAGAAAAAAGTGGTACTATCTGAGGCAGTTAAGGTCTCCATCATTTCAATTCACTGACAAAACTAGCTCTGCCAGAAAATAAATTGAACAGAGGGCCCATGGTATGTCATCAAGATTTAGAAACAGAAAAATGGGCATAAAATAGAAAATTTCCTGAAAATATCATAAACAATATCTGAAGTCCCAGGGTTACGAGTAAGATTGGCCACAAGTGCCAATCAAAAGTAAAGTGCTACTTTAAAATTTTACATGATTCTCAACTATAAAAGCAAGACCATACTTATCTTGTCTAACCCATACCTTTAATCCAAAGATCAAATAAAATCATAGGGGGAAAATAGAAGTACTTATAAACTCTAAGGTTTTTCTTTTTAACTTTAACCCACTGATATTTAATATTTCTTTCCAAATTCAGACAATAACTACATAAGTAAACATCTATTAATATAGCTATATATAAATAGAAACATATTATACATAATATATACCATATATTATATATAGTAATACATGATATATATTATAATACATAAATATTAGATACGTACATAATGTAATTCCACACAGCCTTAAAAAGTATTCTCATTTACAAATGAGGAAATGGAGGATTAAAAAGTAAAGTACTTCATCCAAGGTCACATAACTAATAAACATAGAGAGTTACATTTCAAGCCTAGTTCTGACTCCAAAGCCCATGCTTCTAACCAACACTACTACATCCAGACCACCTCTGTAAAGGTAAACAGATTAAGAGATATTCATAAAATAGTAGCAATTCCATAGATTTTGTATATTGTACATTGTACACTGCCCAACACAAGAAAGCTTCATTCCCTGAACCGTGAACAGGAAGAAAATCAGGTCTTTTCCCCTATCCCTTTTTTCCTTAAATTACTTAAAAGAAGTTTTTAACTCCTTGATCCATGTCCTTTCTCATATGTGTTTAATTTAGTGATTTGAGAGTTAGATCAAAGTCTAGGCTAGCTGGAGAGAAAAGGACAAAATCAATTAAGAGCATATTATAAAAACATGTGAGAATTTTCAAAGAGTTGGTTCAAACTGCCTTTTATTAGGCTCTACCACATAAGTTGCTTTGGAAAAACTGACTCTTGAAAAGTGTCACCATAGTAATCTAAGAAAAAAATGTGAATGCTAATAAACAGGCATATTACATTTATATAATCATCCCAAATTCAAAAAAGGAAGTTAGCTTTTATACTGTTATCTACTGGAATGAATGGTTATATTTGAGCAGTTGTCCTAGTAACTTACAGGGATAATCACTGAAACTCAATTATACCCACAATGGCTAACAACAAATATAAAAACCATTCAAGAATGACCACAACTACAGTCTTTGTTCTCTGTGGTACAAGAAACTAATCACAAGTCCATCTGTGTGAGACCTAGCTAATAAGAACGTTATTTGAGAGGGGTACAAAGGAGAAGGATGGATTGCCAAGGGAAAAAGTCATTTATTAGACTGTGACAAGCTTTTAAATGTTTGCATTATCAGTAACCAATCGCCTGCTTCTCTGGTTCGCACACCTGCCACTTCATCCTAACCTGGATGTGGGCTCATGTCTGAAACACTGGCACCCTCTTCTGACTCTTTTGTTGTACTGCATGTACACCAGTTACTGCAGTTAAAAAGGCTAATAAAGTTATAAATTAGTAAGTTTGCAGGTAACATTCTCCAGATAATTTTTTATTTGCAATTCCCTGAATAAACCTAAATTTAGTTTAATAAAAATATGAAAGAGCAGATCTTCTAAATAAAATGTATGCCAATGAAAAGAAAACCAACTACTTTCTCTTACCATTTTTAACAGTTTATGTACATTAGCTGATTTAATTACAATTATAATGATGACAATAACTAACAGGCCTTTGTGTCAAACACCAGGCATGAATAAACTAGCTTAATCCTAACAACAAACTTATAAGGTCAACATGCCTATTCTCTTCATTTTACAGATATGAAAAGTAAAGCACAATGAAGTTAAATAACATGCCCAGAATCATGCCCATGGGATTAAGTAGTAAAGCTAAATTCCAAACTCAGTAACTCTGATTCCAGAGCCAAAACCTTATTTATACCCAAAATATCCTTGTGAGGTGAAATGGGGCTTATGTCATGATAAAGTAAACATTACTGAAATAGAAAAAAGCACAGCTTGTAAGGAAAATTACAAATACATCTTCCACATCTCTCATTTTCAACAAAGTCTCAAACTGTGCAAAAATGAAATAGCACAGGAAATAGTTTCAGTCGTTTCCCCATTCCTCACTTGAAGGTTTGGATTTTCTGGGTCTTAGATGTTCTTATGCATTCTTTTAACTCCTATTCCTTTTTTCCATCAAACCGGACCTTTATTTACCTAGGTCTGGATCTTTAAGAAAAAAAGCTAATCCACATTGTATGCTTTGTTTTTCTTCTATAAAACAGAACTACTTACCTATTTCTACCTAAATTCTCTATTTCACTGAGATCTTTAAGAAACATATACATTAAGACAGTAAATTCCAATAGCATCATTAATACCTTCTCTTTCATCATGGCAAATATGATAGATTCTTATATGTCTAGAATTATTTAGCTATATTGCTATCTGAAATCAGAGCTCACAGGCAGGATAATCTAAGATTTCTAAAAATACTAACTTCATTTCAAGCAGGACATGAAGGCACGTTGCCTGATGATCTGTAGTTCCAAATGAGATTTACCTAGCATCTAGATTCTATAGTGTACCCACTTAAGCTATACATAGCATCAAAATCTAAGAACCTTAAATAATCCAAATATAGGGTAACCAAGCACACTGCTATAGATGACCAAAAGATTCACAATGGTTGAGAACAAAAGCGTCATTGAGATTTCTCTTTCACAACTATCTTTTCATTTCATGTTAGTTTAAGGTATACTTAGAAGTACAGACTTAATGAAAGTCCAAAGTATTAAAAACATATGAAGTGCACCAGTTGTAATTTGCTAGATCTGAGAACAACTAAAACAAGATGGTTACATTTTAGTATAATACCTAATCACTATCCTAAAAATTAATCGTAACATTATTCATATCACCCGAATCTAAACATAACAAAAACAGCACAGCTAGTATACATGAAAAGATGCCCAGGAATCAACTCCCTGCAAATTACAGAATTCTTTTTACCTCGGTCTGTAGGATGGCAGCCCGCTGTTCCTTAGCAGTCAAGGACTCCTTCAGCACTTCGATGTGTTGCTTACTGTCTGAGAACTGGTTCGTGAGTGTTTCTAGCTTTGTCTGTAGGGCTAGTAGTTCTGTATCCTTTCTAGACAGCTCCTGCTTCACCTGACCAATCTAGAGAAGAAAATAAGATTCTGTAAGGAGAAAAGAAATGAAACTACCACCTTTGACTTGGAACTTTGACAGATTGGAGTCACAAGATAGGAAATGAAATGCAGCACTAATTTTACGACAGGACAGAATTCATCTTTTTGCATCATCTAATTTTGGATACCCACCTCCACACCCCGCAAAATAACAAAGTCATTCAACAAATAGGGAAATTACTGGTTTTCCTTTATACTGTCTCCTCAACATTCTTTAAAACCCTTAGAAAAGGAATGAAGAAAGAAAAATCCCAATTCAATTAGAATACTGTGAGACAGCAGCAAGCATCTGAACACCATTGTGCTGATATAACACAGTTTTCATTATTAAGTCAGACCTCTTCAGAACATAAAGCAAGATTAGTGTAGGCATAATAAAGAAGGAAAAAAAGAAACATCCTAGCATTGACATTTAAATTCAAAAGCTGCAGTGCTGTATTTTTTGTTTTTTAACATTCTCAAACAAAAGTTTAGATGAAATCCTTATCTTAAAAAGCCACTTTCAGTGTTATAAGGAATTATAAACATGTGCTTTTTAAAAATCCTGTAATTTTGATGAGTTAGGAGTACTAACCTAAAAAAAATTCCACCTGCAAAGTTGTATCACCTACAACATGACATAACAACTAAATGGATAAAAGGATATGATCTAAATATAGAGCATAAAAATCACATTCTGTAAGATTCTACATGTGTAATTTGAATTTGAACTGCTTTGACAGAGTAATCTATCAATAGATGCCACTCATTCTCCCACAAATTTCTCTCACCTTAACTTAGAAAAGATTTCATTTCAAACATCTCCTTTATGTTTCCTCTGTTTTCCTAAGAAATTTTCAAATAGTCTTTTTATCCTAAATGGAAGTCAGCTAAACAGAAATCCCATCTGCTTTTACACCCTACCATCTACTGCCTACCAAGGCAGCTGTGCACTGAAAGACAGGTTATGAGAAATATAAATTTAACAAGAAGTCAGTAATTTCAATATCACTGATGAAATGAAGAGTACTTTTTATTTTTTTAATTGAATGTATCTTAATTTTAATACTTTAGGTATAAGGGTCAAGGCTTTTGAGAATAATTTCCCATGAGAAAGTATGAAATAAATATTACTTTAATTAAAATTAGACTTTAAAGAAGCACTAAAATTCCTAATTTACTCTGCTGCTGCAGGAAGACAAGCACTGTTCTCTTATGTATGAAATGTATTCACAGATACAGTTATTCACTCATGTAACAAATATTTCTGTATGCTTATTGTACATAAAACACTTGAGAATACTAAGAATATCAGTGTAAGACAATCAGAAATGACAGCTACTTCCATCTGTAATACAGATATGTACCCAGGAGTTACTACATACTGCAATGGTGTGGCATCTTTCACAACATCTCTTTACCAATAAAAAACACACATTAGTGTTATCCCATCCTTTACATACAGACTGTGCTAAAAACTCATTTATTGTATGAATGAATATTCAGGAGAAATGTTCAAAATGTTATCAGCTCCTCAGCTAAAGAACTATGGTCTAAAGATTAAACAGATTTCCTGGTACCTCTAAAACATGATCAAATAAATAGAAAATATCCATTTTCCTCATTATCTGCATTATTAAATAATCTTCAAATAATCCTAAATTGACCATAAAGACTGAGAAAGGGAAGGAAATATTCTAAATGGAAAGCAGAGTTTAGAAACACAAATTTTCCTTAAAAGTTAGGAGCGTAAGGCTTTGCAGTCAATGACACATAAAGATGAGTACATCTTTGCATAATCAGTAACATGGAGAAAGTAAACTAATGCTATTACATTGTTTAGAGATTAAATAATGTATGGAATGTGCTTAGTCTATTGTTTAATATAACAATGAAATGATCAATAATAGCTAAGGAAAAAAAAGTTACAGATCAACTTCTCTGTAACTCCTCTGTGTGACAATACAGTTAACCTAAACCAAAATTAGACCCTTTAAGACAAAATACTTCACTTTCTATCTATACTATTTTCTATCACTATACTATGAAGCAGTTCATAAACAGCAAACACTTCAGATTAACACGTTTTTTTTTAATGCTGCATTCCTATCTCATCCCACAACTATTTTCAGAAGCAGTTTTTTCAGACAAAAATGTGTGTGACATATGGTGTGCATGGCCTATTGTAGGGAGGTAGAGTGAAGAGCTTACCAACACAGGTGTAGAACCAGACTGCATGTGTTAAAGTCAAACTCTGCCTCTTGTTAGCTGTGCTTCTTAAGGACCACTCTCTTACTTCAGTTTCCTCATGTTCAATTGGGATTAATAAGATACCTACATTAGAAGGTTATAAAATGCTTGTAATAAGTGCTCAACTGTTAGCTATTTTATTACTTTATTCTTTTATTGTATTTTGAAGTGGAACTTTAAGTTCACTAGACAGAAGATGGAGCTAGATTTAGAGACTTCACAAAGTTCTGCACTAATTCTAATTCACTAGGTTAACTCTAAATAAGTTAATCACTTTCTATACATCTATTCTAAAGAAAGTAACATTTGTTTCAACATCAGCTAGAAGGGACTTAAAAGATTTCTACATATGAAGGTAAAGCACTTTACTCAAGAACTCCTAATTCAAAAGAGTAGATCTTAAGAGCTCTCATCACAAGAAGAAAAAAATTGCAACCGTGTATGGTAAGGGATATTAACTAGGCTTATTGTGTAGATCATTGTACAATATATATAAAATATCAAATTGTTATACACTGAAATCAATATAAAGTTACATGTCAATTATACTTCCGTTAAGAGAAAAAAAATTTCAGATCCAAATAAATAGAGGTGACGGACCCAGAACACCTGCATGTGCCTATACCACAAAAGAAGGTGATGACCATTCGTACACATCAACAAGTACCTATAATGGCAAAGAGGTTGAGAAAACACAAGCTTTGAAGAACCATCCATCCAGTGACAGAAGCAAAAATGAAGAACCAGGTACAGGGCTTCCAGAACATCTGAGGGCTCACTACACACAAAGTGATGTATGGGTCAAACTGGGAACAGGAGTCAGTTAAAGAGCAGAGCAGGCTGGTTAGTGCTAGTATTGGGCAAAGCTGCCAACCATAGAGAGTGAAAGTGTAAGCCACCCAGAAGCCAGAAGAGCCAGCAGGGTCCCACTGTGGGCACACTGCACACAGAGAGTAAATCTTACGGCAAAGACCTCAGCCTGGAGACCAGCCGCTCTCTTTTTCAGCTCCTCCCCTTGAGCCTCTTTCGAATTTAGCTCCTCCTTCAGTTGCTCTACCTGTCACGAAATTGTTATTCTTTTTCACTTATGTGTCAACTTGGGTCTTCTTACCTGCTTTTGAGCCAGAGCAGTAACTGGAAATAACAATAGCTTATATAACACAATCAAATCTGTTCCCCTAATTCCTTCTTCAAAGTACCCTAGACAGTTTGTCTATTTCACAGGGTTTCTTAATCGACTAAAATGTGCTAATCAGCAAATGGAAAGCAGGGCGAAAAACACCAACTAATAGAAAGTTGGACGTTGTGAATTTTTAAGTTCTAAAATTGATAACAGATTCTTAAAATAATACAGGAATATTCTACAGAGTTACATGCCAGTTGTGGGTTCCAAGGCAAGAACCTGGCAACTGGAAAGAGGGAATTGTAACTGTATCATTCTTTCAGTTTACAGTTCTGAGAAACTGGGGAACCAATACAATTGGGATGGAGGAGTACTTATTTTTTAGATAATACTTTATAATTATAATTGTGATTTTTAATTATTTGGTAAATTGATAACAAACTTGGTTAACTGATACCTGTAATAGACTAAATCCTTCAATGTGCCTAGTTTATAGAATCAAATTAAAATGACTTTCGATATAAGGAAGGAATAATGTGGCTGAGTTTATACACAGACTGACATGTCTCACTGGCACCTATCTTACTGTACAAATACCTGTACATGGGAAACAATACGCCTACAAATGGATCTTCCCCAAAGAATAGAACAAAGGATTTTCCTTTATGGAACTGTACTTGAAGGGAAAATGTGATTTCATTTAAGTCATTTCAGGTTAAAAAGGCAAGAGGTGGAATGGGCGGAACTAGGTTCAGCCTATTAGGGTTTTGACTTTTAAAATACTTCACAAGAAGTAACCTGATGTCTCACATAATGAAAAAAAAAAAAGCTCATGTGGATATAATTCTACTAAATCACCTCATAAGTACTGACAGTTATAAAATGCTAAACTGTAACAAAATGTAACAGCCTCCTACGGGCTATACAACATCAGTAATTGTTACTTTAATTCTGGGAAATTCCATTTGAAAGAATTACATTAGAGGTAGCCTTCCCTGTAGTTTGATAAAAAAGTGTGAAGTTCTTCATCATCACTAAGGAAGTACGAATGTGTATCAATTTTTCAAGCCACTTTTAAAAATCACACTGTCATATAACATTACCTTATTTTTCATAAATTTAGAATGGCTTCGATACAGTTCCATTTGCTTCATTTCCTCCTCCCGTTCTTCAGTACTCAAAGCCCCATTTGATTTCAGCATCTGAATCTCCTCTTCTAAGTCTCTGAGCCCACGCTCCATAGAGGAAATTTTTGAATCCTAAAGATAATAGAAGATTTAGACATGAAAATATTCATTAAGAAAAAATCAGAAAAGTTAAACAACCTCTCTTTCCAGATGTTAAATTTAATAAAGATAATCAAGTATGTAGAAAAATTGCTGTGTAGCACTGGTGCCTTGCTTCTAAAAATATATCCTTTATGACCATTTGGGTGGGAGCAGGAGAGACACATCTAAAAAATTATTTTTTTTCTACCCTTTCCCTCCATTTTGCACCCGTCTGATTAAAGTTGAGACAATTAAACAATAAACAAGAAACAATGGAAAAGTGGTTAAAGTTTTTATGGTCAAAATTTCTACTGAAAAATTTTTTAATAGTAACAGTAAAACGTTTTCTGGCTGAAAAGAGTAAGTACCCTGAAAAGAGTAAGAGGGTTTCGAAGATTTATACAATAACATCCCATTGCAGAAAAAGGGATGATTAATTACAATAACAGCTACTGTTTCTATTAGTAACCTCATTTTCTGTACTTCTCCACACATTTGAAATATTTCATAATAATTTTTAAAAAGAAATAACATTCTTCTTGTAAATATATCATCACCACCACAAATACCACTTCCTAGACATCCTTTTATATTACATTTCTTGGTTTTGTTTGTCAAAGTATCTAGTTTGTACCCATATTACTGTAGATGTCATCAATTACAGAAAAACTCCCACATAGAATATTTTTATGTCTGTAGTTTCATATCTATTCAACCAAACAAAGACTTCTTAAAGAGCATAAATTAAGTATAGCTTTCTTTTATTTGGATTTTTATAGAAACCACTCCTTAAATAATTTTCAGACTGAGTTCCTTTTGCACTTTGTAAGAGGTTTTCAGGATAAACTTCCCTTGCTATCGTAATTCTTAAAACATGCAGAAAAAAGTTAAAGGGTTTATCATCAGGCAATAACAACTTGCTGTTTTTGGCTTGGGGATAGTAAAAAGATGTACGCCTCTGTCTTCCATTGTATTAACTTTGACATATCACCAGAAAAATTTTCTTTTACAAATCTATACATATTAAACTTACATTTTATTCAAAATGAATGTACAGAATTAATACACACAAGAGATATTCTAAACCTAAACCAGAATTTTGATGTAGTCATTTAAAGTTTCCGGGCCTCAGGCAATCTCTTGGCCCATGAAGAAGAAATAAACTACAATTGACCATTGAACAACAACAGGGGTTGGAAAGCTGACCCGCCCACACAGTCAAAAATCCACATACTTTTTTTATTAAAGTATCAATGATACACACTCTTACGAAGGTTTCACACGAAAAACAATGTGGTTACTACATTCATCCATATTATCAAGTCAGCCCCATAACCCGTTGAAGTCCCTGTCCATCAGTGTAGTAAGATGCCACAGAGTCACTACTTGCCTTCTCTGTGTTACACTGTCTTCCTGCTGATCTCCCACACACAATGGGTACCAATCATAATACTCCTCAATCACCTTTTCCCTCCCTCCTCACCCGCTCTCCCCCACCCCTCCCCTTTAGTAACCGATAGTCCTTTCTTAGTCTGTGAGTCTGCTGCTGTTTGTTCCCTCGGTCTTCCTTCATTGTTACACTCCGCAAATGAGGGAACTAATGTGGTACTTGTCTTTCTCCGCCTGGCTTATAATATCCTCCAGCTCCATCCATGTTATTGCAAAAGGTAGGATTTGTTTTCTTCTTATGCCTGAACAGTATTCCATTGTGTATATATATACCACATCATTTTTGTCCATTCATCTACTGATGGACACTTAGGTTGCTTCCATATCTAGGCTATTATAAATACTGCTGCAATAAACAGGGGTGCATATGCCTTTTTGAATCGGAAAACTTGTTTTCTTTTGATAAATTCCTAGGAATGGAATTACTGGGTCAAATGGTATTTGTATTTTCAGTTTTCTGAGGAAACTTCATATTGCTTTCCACAATCGCTGAATTAATTTACATTCCCAAAAGAGGTGTAGGAGGATTCCCCTTTCTCCGCATCCTTACCAGCATTTCTTGTACCTACTCTTTTCGATGTTGGCCATCCTAACTGGTGTGAGGGGATGTCTCATTGGGGTTTTAATTTGCATTTCCCTGATAATTAGAAATGTGGAGCACCTTTTCATGTGCCTGTCGGCCATCTGAATTTCTTCTTTGGAGAAGTGTCTGTTCAGATCCTCTACCCAGTTTTTAATAGGGGTATTTACTTTTTGGGTGTTGAAGCGTGTAAGTTCTTTATATATTTTGGATGTTAACCCATTTTCGGATATGTCATTTACAAACATGTTCTCACAGACTGTAGGATGTCTTTTTGTTCTGCTCATGGTATCCTTTCCTATACATAAGTTTTTAGCTTTAGTCCCATTTGTTCATTTTTGCTTTTGTCTCCCTTGCCTGAGGGGTTGTGTTCAGGAAAAAGTTGCTCAAGTTTATATTTAAAAGATTTTTGCCAGAATTCAAAATGGTGGCATGAGAGGTGAGACAGAGAACACCTTCAAAAACCACATATAGTATGAAAATATACTTAATACAACTAATCCTAAAACAGCAACAGGAAAGAAGACTGCAACACACCGCATACACCTGGAGAACAGAGCAGACCTCAGGAAACAGGGTAACATACCAAAGCCTTGATCTGGCAGTACCCAAGCCCTTCCCTAACCCAAGCTCACCAGCGGGAGGAAGAGAAAAGGAGTGGGGAGTGGGTGGAAGCCTAGAACTGCTGAACATGCAGCTCTGGAGATCTGCTCTACAACACAACCCTACATTGTGTGGTGCTATGGAGGTTGGTGGGGCTGGGGAGATGCGACAGGCAGAGTGCTTCAGAAACTGAGATTCAGGCCATTTGTGGAGGATGGGGATCCACATCCGGCCACTCTGGGACAAAAGAAACGCGGGCGGTCTGAGAAGCTTCCTAGCAGCGAGAGGACTGCTGAAGGGGTAGGGTCTACATGGAGCTTCCCACGTTCTTTTCATGTGCCTGTCGGCCATCTGAATTTCTTCTTTGGAGAAGTGTCTGTTCAGATCCTCTACCCAGTTTTTAATAGGGGTATTTACTTTTTGGGTGTTGAAGCGTGTAAGTTCTTTATATATTTTGGATGTTAACCCATTTTCGGATATGTCATTTACAAACATGTTCTCACAGACTGTAGGATGTCTTTTTGTTCTGCTCATGGTATCCTTTCCTATACATAAGTTTTTAGCTTTAGTCCCATTTGTTCATTTTTGCTTTTGTCTCCCTTGCCTGAGGGGTTGTGTTCAGGAAAAAGTTGCTCAAGTTTATATTTAAAAGATTTTTGCCAGAATTCAAAATGGTGGCATGAGAGGTGAGACAGAGAACACCTTCAAAAACCACATATAGTATGAAAATATACTTAATACAACTAATCCTAAAACAGCAACAGGAAAGAAGACTGCAACACACCGCATACACCTGGAGAACAGAGCAGACCTCAGGAAACAGGGTAACATACCAAAGCCTTGATCTGGCAGTACCCAAGCCCTTCCCTAACCCAAGCTCACCAGCGGGAGGAAGAGAAAAGGAGTGGGGAGTGGGTGGAAGCCTAGAACTGCTGAACATGCAGCTCTGGAGATCTGCTCTACAACACAACCCTACATTGTGTGGTGCTATGGAGGTTGGTGGGGCTGGGGAGATGCGACAGGCAGAGTGCTTCAGAAACTGAGATTCAGGCCATTTGTGGAGGATGGGGATCCACATCCGGCCACTCTGGGACAAAAGAAACGCGGGCGGTCTGAGAAGCTTCCTAGCAGCGAGAGGACTGCTGAAGGGGTAGGGTCTACATGGAGCTTCCCACGTGGGACAAGGGATAGGTGGACAAGGTTCTTGGGCACACTCTGCCAAGCAGGTTGGGAACTTTCGCGAACTTCAGGGGCTCCATCCCCTTGGCTGGCTACTCAGCTCCGAGGCCCCCCACTGTGACATGCATCCAGCTCTGTCTTCTTCCTGGCCTACCGGCACCAGATTGCAAACCAGCAGACATTGCGCCAGCATCAGGACAGTCAGAGGGAGGCCACACCTACAACAGTTAGAGACGGAAAGCACAGAGACTTATACCTGCCTGCTCAGTCCAGACTCTGACACTGGAGAAACGCACGGCACCCAGGAATCAGGAAACAGCTCTTTCCTCTCCCCAGGGACCAGTACCAGGTCCCTGTGACCCCCAACCTCACTCCAGGGGATTAGCAGATCCAGAGACTAGGCCTTCTGGGCACTAGACAGTGCCACATAAAAATATGAAACGTCAAAGAAACAAGGTTCAGGCCAAAATCTCACAAACCCCAGAAAAAGGCCAAATAAAACCGAACTCACCAATCTTCCTGAAAGACAGTGCAAAATAAAAATCATAAACATGCTCATGGATGTACAGAAAAATATCCGAGAACTCTGGGAAGAATTTAAGATAGAGATTCAATCATTAAGATATTTCATATCTGAAATGAAACATACAATGGAGGGATTTAAAAGCATATTCGATAACAGTAGAAGAGATGGTATGTGTGACCATGCCAAACAGAACAATATTCAAGTTATAGGGGTACCAGAAGAAGAAGAGAGAAAAAGGGACAGAAACTATTATTGATGAGGCAATTGCTGAAAACTTCCCCCTTCTGGGGAAGGAGATAGTCTCTCTGGACATGGAGATTCACAGATCTCCAAACAGAAGGAATGCAAGGAAGACAAAACCAAGACATAATAATTAAAACAGCAAAGATTAAGGATAGACACACTGTGAAAAGCAGCTACAGAGAGAAAAATGAACACATACAAAGAAAAACTCATCAAGCTATCATCAGATTTCTCAACAGAAACCTTACAGGCAGAAAGGAGTGACATAATACATTTAATGCAATGAAAAACAAGGTCCTTGAACCAAGAATACTCTACCCAGCAGGTTATCATTTATGAATTTGAAGAAGGTATTAAACACTTTTCAGATAAGCAAAAGCTGAGAGAATTTAGCTCCCACAAACCACCTCC